CTAGATCTAACTCTGTTACTGAAAAACTGTGCTTTAATTTGAGTTCTTACAGGTATTACTTCAATGTGGCACTACAAACTTGCTCCCCCTACACGTCAAATGGATGCGACACATCGTTGAACTCGTTCAAAACGTTGGCCGAGTGCGAGGACTTCTGCCTGAGCGCAGGATGTCAAGCGGGCGATACCGTATACAAAGTTAGTACGCATCGTGATCGTGGGATTTCTCGTGACGGAAAAAGAAGTATTACATTCCCGTGACATACACACAGATAGACTCTAAATTAATTTTTTGGGAAATATAGATATTTGAGTATTTCCAAGGTGAGGGCTAATCTTGAAAAATAGCTCAATTCCAGGATCCCAATACGAATCGTCCATTTTTGTGCAATACTGCTCTGCATAACAATTGTCCGGCAAACTACGAATGCACCCTGAATGCTCTCACACAGGAACACGTCTGCTGTGGATCCGACAGCATGGGTACGCAACTTTGAAGACATTTACGGAGCAAAGATCTAATGATGTTTGAGGATAACCGGGACTTGAATAGCCGATTACCATAAGTTCTAACCTGTCGAACGCTATAGGAGTTTGCCCAAATGGCGAAAAAGCGTTTGTGGAGCCGATAACCTTGACGCCCAGACAGTGCGCAATGGTTGCTGATAGAAAATGTCCAGCCGGTTATTTATGCCGATTCTCGCAAAACAATCACAAGTACTACTGCTGTGGGAGTATCAGTGGAAGTACGTCTAATTGGGTTTTCTTGGAATCGAGCCACCTTTCAGGACTGAAAAGAGCTTTCCAGGTCTGTGTCCAGCTGGTCGGGCACTGTTTCGCTACCCAACGACACAGTTACCGTTGCAGGTACGTTTCAAACCTCTCGCGACTGTTTGTGATAGCCGCAGCGCTCAAGCTACGAATGCGCGCAACGCGCCGCGACCGCACGCGTGCCACATCTGCAAAAGGCAGATGTTCGAAGCTACCTTTTTCGACTTGATTTTTTCTATTACAGTGCCATATTACTCATGGTGGAGGCGGCTGTCCTCCATCGTATGCCTGCCAAAGTGATGTGCCCGGCGCCTTCCAGGGATACTGCTGCAGCCAGCATCGTAAGTCGTATTTAGTTTATCATCATAGTTGGCTACTTTGGTGATTTCAGCGATTTGCCCCGGTGGAGTGAGCTATCACCTCGATGAAAAGACCCAAATGCCTACCACTTGTTCCAGTGAAGGTTTCGCTTTTTGTCCGCAGGTTGGTTGGTTCAGGAATGATAACCACAACTTCTGAGTGAGTACTCAATGATGAAGGCTAGAGGGGATGTACGAATCTTCGAAACAGAATCAACGATACGCTAGAAAATCACTCCAATGATAGTAAGATTGGCTTTCGAAGGAAACGAGCTGGGAAGTTGGAAAGGGAAGATTCCATGGTCACGAGTATGAGATAATAAGAAAAAGTGGACTTTTCCTTCCCCGCCCTTCTCCGTCCCTTCATGACTAGCCTCCTTCTGTCAGGAACTGACCTCATCATTCAGTACGATATTACATTGTTCCGAGGTAGGCGATTTCAACTAACGAGAATATGGAGAACGCCTTCTGACAGAACTCGCCTTACTTTTATTACCACCTATCAAAAAAAGGAATATAGGATCTTCCAGGGTTTCACATGCCAACAGCAACCCGAAACGATGAGTTACTACTGTTGCGCTGGAAAGGACAAAGAAGGAGTAAACGGTGAGTGGCTTTTCTGAGCCTCGTCGATTTATAGTGCTAGTCATCCTGCTCGATATCGTAAGAGCCTCTAATAAACTAATTTACCAAGGAATAGTTCCTCCTATAACCATTAAGGAGAAAGGGCTATAGGGGACATAGCCTGGGGAGCAAATCAAAACAAGAACAAAGTAGGAAATAGCAAAGTGCCTTGGAAGGATCTATTTCCTGCCTTTTTCCCCCGTATTACCAATAATTTCAATCGATCTCAATTATCGAAAAATGCAAATTTCCTAAGAAATATTTCAGACGGATGTCCACCGGGACAGTACGCTTACATCACCAGTGGGCAGGTGAAAAGCTGCGATCCATTCAACGTTGACGGTCAGTGAATCGTTTTTCTCAAATTCACAGCACTATTATACATGCATCGCCAAGATTAGTAAGTCTGAGGATTCGTCCATGATGTCCATGATCCGTGGGCAGTCTTACACAAATCGAGTTGCTAGCGGTGATAGGCAGTTTGCCTCAATCAGTAGGATACCTCTACTCTGCAGCCACTTTCCAGCACTTCCCGGGTGATTCGTCTTCTTTATGACGCCCAATGCAGCACGGGTGTCAGACGTCTTCCGCTATGGAGCACTTCTATTCCAAAAGAGTGATAAGCCACTGAGGCAGTGGTTCATGCACTAACAGCTGCTTGAGAGAACAAAATACAATTTTACACCTAATGACGTTTCCTTGATAATATGAATATTATTTTCAAGTACATTAAACCATATGACTTCTAAATTCTATAAACTAACTAGTCACAACCCAATGGGCGTAGTACCGCGTCCGAGTGATGCACTATCACCCACGTGGTCGAGGGTCGATTCCCGGCTGTGCTACTCGCCCATCGCCTCCCTCTCTGATGTTTTTATTCTGATTAATAAAGGCGCCTAGCCAACCAAGCCTTCCATCCCTCCGGGGTCGGTTAATTGGTACCAGACTCTTCTGGGAGATTAAAAGCATTGGCTTGCACATCAGCTGGCCATTGCAAATCATTGTATAGGCCGCATTCAATTCAGATGTCACTACGATTCCGAATGGGAGTCAAACGCTAGGCTCATCTCAAATTGGCACTGAAAGTGCCAAAAAATGTCCTTTAGAGTTCAACAAAATAGAACTATCAGAACTTTAGCTATGAGCTGCCCATCGGAATACACCTGCCAGTGGTCAGTGACAAATCAGAAGTATCAGTGCTGTGGAACACGTCCAATTCGCCAGACAAAACCGAACAAAATCGGTAAGTCATAGTATTCAAACATTGCGGTACGGAGTTCACTTTTACATTGAAGAAAAGGTAGAAATCTGGACTTCGTCAGGGAGAGCCTCAACATGATCACTTATCGATAAATCGGTGGTTAGAGTAAGAAGTTTTGGACATATTGATTGGACGCAGTTGCAACGCCTCGCGTCCGCACGCGTCACACTTGCTCTAACTTTACGAGATTTTACGAAATATAATTAAGTTTACAGACGATGGTTGCTTGCGTAAACAGTTCGCCTTACTCGACCGTCGGACGAATAAGCCTCGAATATGTACAGCAGGAGAGGTAAGATACCCGAGAACATTGAAGGCCGCCAAACTGGTGGGCCAGAATGAAGTTACCACCCTGTTTCCTGGACCAGCGTGGTAAATTTTAAAAGTCAATTTTCAGGAAAATTCCTGTCCCATAGGATTCTTCTGTCAGTTTTCGGCAAAACGAAGTCAATTCCAGTGCTGTGGTCAGAGTGGAGGTACAGTTCTTTGACTACATTTCGTGCAGTGATACATATCTTTCTATCGAAAATAAATCTGTTCTGGGCAAGGCAGTGATAACTCGTCATCCTACCCCTGCAAGGTTATCTGCGTGGTACCAGACTCGTCCTAAAAGAGTGGATCCGCTGGGATATAGTGAAGCAGTTGTCCATAGTGCTTCTCCACCACGTCCAACAAGTTTCGATAGATCTTTGACAAGATAACTCGCCCTGATATCGCTCAAAGTCAAAGGCCAGGCCCAAACACTGACCCTTTAGACCAAGCACTGCTCAATAAGTGCCTCGTGTGAGAGTCCAACAGCATTCTACGGTGTGTAGGTCTTGTACGGTCACGCATCTACTACTACTACACTGTACTTGGACCTGGGTCTACGCGTGCTGTCTAAAAGTTGGCGTCCATCTGCTTTAATCCAGCTCCCACCCACATATACCTTCCTTTAAGGTTGTCCCGAACGCCGAGCCGCTTATATAGCCGTTGACGGTAACGCGCAGGAATGCCTACCGGGGCCGGACATGTGCGCAGATGGTTTCGAATGTGTTCGAAGTGTGGAAGGAAGTGGAAAGAATATCTGCTGCAGTAAAGAAGACAACGGTAAGAAGCTACTCACGTTTTTCAGTCGGTCAAAATACGATACTGGAACTGTTCTGTTCTTATGAATGATTTCATTTCATTTTCATAGTTTTTACGTTTCTCGTTTATCGATTTCCTGTTTGCATATTACCTAAAAAGTAAAGCAATAACCAAACAAAATTGGCCGTCTCGAGAGATCTCATTTGTTGGCCATTTCCCACTTTCTGCAGTATTAAACTAATTTTTCACTCTCTTTCTTTTATCAACTCGCTTTCTTGGATTGTTTTCGAATTTTCGCAAAAAAAAAACAAAGTAACTAAAATTTCACACGGAACTAGCAAAATCGAAGACAAAATTTGATTTTGGATGGTCTCTGCTCGAGGAAGTACTTTCTGTAGAGTGGCTTCCGAATCAATCAAATTTCATTTTCCGAAAAATAGGAAACGCCTATAAAAATTTGTATATCCGTTGTAACTTCGATATTTACAAATACTCGGTCCCTTTTTGAAAGGTCTGTAAAAGACATTTTTAAGAATGCTCTGAAAACGAGAAAATGATCAACGGGACGTGTGTGGTGCACATGAAAATCGGTGGCCCCTGCCATCGAGATGAGGAATGCGGTGGTGGAAGCACATGTGAATCCAATATCTGCAGGTAATATCTCTATATCGATAATGACAAATAAATTCTGGTGGGAAGTAAAGACCGTGAATGAGGTTCACCTACAACAGATGTCCATCGGGTCAACAGGCTGTACTGGGCGAGTGCGTCTCCACAGAATGCAATCCAAATCAGGTACGGTAATGGTCGCTTACAATTGGACCGATTGGGATAATTCTACTATTTTCAGATCATTCTGGAAGGACGCTGCGTTGATCGTGGGGCTGCGGGAGAGTCATGTAAAAGTTCTTTTCAGGTAACCTCATAAATAGTTTTAAAGACGTATGGGACCAAGAATGGGCAAGCTAGAGAGCATACATGAAAAGCAAAAATGGAGCGGATGGGTCCCAGGACTTTCAGAAAACATTTTTGGGCAGATTCCTACCAAAGTTCAGAGATCGCGTTCTTCTATCGTTTCGAACCCTCTTAGGTGAATTGTCACACGCGCGCAAAATCGATACCTATTCTAAAGTGCAACCATTATTTGAGACAAAAAGCTGAAACAGCTCGTAGTGAATTCAACAACTACTTTAGTGCATATCAAACTTACGATGTCTGAACAACAAGTGTGATTGCGGTAAAGGAGAAAGAATCGATGGCAACAGCTGCGTGAAAATCGATGGAGGTATCGACTCTTTCGGGAGAGGATATCCCTTAGTCTCAATGGTGATCCATTACAGAAACGCCCAAGTCGCGTCCGTCCAGTCCATCTTCATCGGTCGAGATGTGCCCGAAAT